CTGCAGGTGGATCCTGCCCCTGCTCCTGCTCAGCGCCGTCGTCTTCGACATCATCGCGCTGGCCGGCCGCGGCTGGCTGCAGTCCGACGACCACCACCAGACGTCCTCGCTGTGGTGGAAATGCACCGGCGAGGGCGGCGGCAGCGGGTCCGCGGAGGACTGCCAGAGCCTCATGGACTTCGGTGAGTGCCCGCCCGCCGCCGCCTCCAGGAAGCCCTCGGGGCCGCGCGCAAAAGGCCCCGACTTTTAAAAAATGTCTGTTTAGAGCGAGCTCAGGCTCGTGCAAACAGCCTGAACCAAGTGAAGCAGCAGCAGCAGCTTTGGGTGGCCGACACCGGGCTCAAAACGGGGGGGGGGGGGAATGGCCCTACGTTCACACTTTTTCATTGGCTTTGACTGTTACGTGCAAAAGATTATTTCAGCCTTTGCAAAGGTTTAGTAAAAATAATGCACGAAGTATATTCTCTTGGCGATCTCCTGAATTTCTTCCCATTCCCCTTTTCCCTCCTATGTTTATGATTAAAAATACAAGTATTAAAATAACGTGCCTTCCCTAATATCGTTGGATTTGTTTAACTTGATCTCAGTTGGAAAAACTTTTTTCCATTAAAAAAAATAAAACCCTTTCGGGCACTTTTAGCAATAGATACTTCAGTTTATTAGCAGTCAGGCTAGTTCTTGTTAGCTCTTGTTCGAGGGAGTGTTCTTTTGGCTCAGGCATGGCGTTGCTGTTTAAAAAACTTAATTATTTTAATCTTACTTGAAATCTACAAAGCAAGCACACCCTCTGCACCAGCGAAGTGAGGCTGAGCCGGCAGGTTGAATATTGACAAGGCAGATGGAGCACTGTGTTCTGTTTTTCCAGCTTGCGGGAAGCCTCGGTGCTTGACTGGTTAACACACAGGGCTGGAAAGGAACAGCTCCTGCCTGAGAAGGCATTTTCTTTCACAGTGGGATACCCCTTTGCTTTGGGGCAGCGTGAACAAGAAAGAGCTGGGGTCTGTTGGGATTAGCCATGTGTGTGGGGGTGTGAGCTTGATCAAAGCTTAAAGCCAAAAGAGGGTTTACCCACGGAGTTTAAAGAAAGCTACCCTGTCGTTTTTTCTCTCCTGGCTACTACCAATGGTCTTGATTCTTTCCCTGAAGCGGTGCAGGGCTTCCAACCAAACCCCGTTTCTTT